CTTGAACCATCCGCCTGCCTCAGCCTCCCAGGTAGCTGGGACTACAGGCGCGGGCCACCAAGCCCTGCTAATTTTTCTATTTTTTGTGGAGACGGATTCTCACTCTTGCTCAGCGTGGTCTCAAATGCCTGGCCTCAAGTGATCCTCCAGCCTTGGTCTCCCAAAGTGCTAATATTACAGGCATGAGCCACCATGCCCAGCCCTTCACTCTTGTTATAGTCATTTTTAAAAAGGTTTTGGTTTTTCTGTCCATTTAAAACTATAAATAAACATATTCATATTTATCTCCCCCTCTTTTAAAATTAAAGATAACATGCTATACACACTATTTTGTATAATGCTTTTTTCACTTAGCAACACATCCTGAGGATTATTTTGGAGCAATATATAGAGATATGCTTCAATCCATTTTATAGCTACATAGTATTCTGTGACATGGATATGCCATAGTTTAGCCAACCGGTTCCCTGTTGAGGGATATTTGATTGTTTTCAGGCTTTGCTCTTGCAAATGGCACTATAGTGAATAGCCTGTGCATATGTAATTTTGTTTTGTTTTGCCAGTGTATTAGATTAGAATCCTAGAAGTATTGTTGGCTTAAAGGATAAATGTATATGTGATTTTTCTTAATAGTACCAAATTCCCCTTCATAGGGGTTTTGCTATTTTGCATTCCCACCGGTAACATGTAGAGTTGTCTATTTGCTCATAGTGTCAAACTTCTAGGTTTTTGCCAACCTGCTGGAAGGGTATCTCACTGTAGTTTTAATTTGCATATCTCTTATTACGAATGTGGTTGAGTATCTTTCCATTTGTTTAAGAGTCACTTGCATTTCCTAGTTTATCATTTGCCTCTTTACTTAACTAGTTTTTTCCCATACAAAAATTTTTTATTTTTATGTGGTCAAATTTATTAATTTTTCTTCTTATTCTGAAATTTGTAACATATTTTAAAAAACTTGTATTGGCTGTTGTGTGAAGAAGAGGGAGGGGTCGAGGTGCGGGAGGCAAGGGCAGAAACCGGGAAGACCAGTTTGAACATGATTATAATAATCCAGCTTTGATAGCTGTAGAGGCAGTTCCAAGTATCTTTTGAAGTGTCTGTTGACGGCTAGGATGTAGGGTGTGAGAGAGAAGAGTCAGGATGACTCCCAAGTTTTTGACCTAACAGGGTTGAGTTGCCATTAATTGAGAAGGAGAAGATTGTGGGAAGGGGAGCTTTGTGGGAAGATCAAGAGTTTGGTTATAGACACGTAAAGTTCAAGATACCTGGTGGACATCCAAGAGGAGGTGTCAAATAGAAAGTTGGATATGTGAGTCTATAATTTCAGAGAGTGTTTATGGTTAGAAATAATCATTTGGGAGTCACCAGCATATAGAGGATATTTATTTGGGTTTTCCCTTTTTATTTATTTACTTTTTTTGAAGTATACTTTACATACAATGAAATGTACAGACATTAGGTATACAGTTCGGTGATTTTTAACAAACATATATCCCTGTGTAACTAGCATCCCAGTCAAAGGTAGAGCAATTCGTTCACCTCAAAAAGTTCCCTGGTGCCCCTTTCTAGTCACTCTGTTTCCCGGAGGCAATCATTGTTCTGATTTTTATCGTCACAATTTAGTTTTGCCTCTTATAGATGGTATTTAAAAACATAAGACTGGATGAAGTCCCCAAGGGTGTAGATATAGATAGGGAAGAGGTCCAAGCACTGAGACTTGGGGAATGGAGAGGAATCAGCAAGGGGTCAGAAGAGGTGTAGCTTGAAAGAGAGGAAAGAGCCAGATAGAGTAGAGTCCTGGGAAGCAAGTGAAAAAAGTGTTTAAAACTGGAGGGAGTGATGAACCGAGTCAAATGCTGCTGAAAAGTCTTGTAAGATGAGGATTAAAAATTGACCAATAGATTCAGCAACAAGGGGGTCATTGATGACCTTGTTGAAAGCTGCTTTGGTGGAGTGATGTGGCCTGAATGCCCGATTAGAGTGGATTTGAGTGAATGGGAGGAGAGAGATTGGACAGCAAGAATATAGACGAACATTTTGAGGAGCCGAAAAATAGGAGAGTAAATGGAAGGGAGGCAGTATGGGATACAAGGAGGATTTTTTTTTTTTTTTAATGAGCAATGTTTCATTATCTTTGCTCATGTGACTAATCCAGTAAGAGGGAAAAATTGACATTGGAAGACTGATAAGAGAATTGCTGGAGTGATGTCCTTGAGTTGGCAAGAGGGGCGGGATCTAGTGCACAAGAGAGGGGCTAGCCTGAGATAGGGGCTTAGGCAGTTCATCTGTGGTGATAGGAGGAAAGGCAGGTAGAAGTACAGGTGAGAGCATGCAAAAATTCTCTTTGGTGGTTTCTATTTCTCCGAGCCATAGGAACCAGGGGAGAGGACAGAAGGTATCAGGCTGAGGAAAGAGATCCAAGTGTGAATTAGCCTGACAATGGAAGAGTTATCACTTCATACCTGCCCCTACTGATAACAGTTGTGTAACTTATGTTTGCTGTATCCCTTGTAACTTATCTCTTAGGATCTTGTGAGAACAATTCTAAGTGAGGAAAATACCTCTTTCCTGGCCCATAATAGGTGTTTAATAAAGGATCATTTCTTTCCCAAGTGTAGCCATAAAACTGTTAATGAAGTATAGATAGAAAAGTACTTCCAATATTTAAAATATCACTTTAATTATAATCTAACACCTTTTCAGATGTGCATTTAATATGTTGATTACATGCACTTATATATTCAGAATCTGGAATTGTGTAGTCAGGTGCCACATTTTAAAAAAAGAATTAGATTTATCATTTTTCTTCTGGTTTGCCAATCAAATCTATAGGGACTTGTATGATAAATTTGCTTCACCAGTCTATTGTCTGTTGGAAAGGTAGTTTTAGTTGCATGTTTTAAAAATTCTGAGTAACTGAGTCCTGTTGCTGTCTCTTGGTTTAATTTGACTACGGTCAAGAGTAGAATGAGGTTGAAACTATTTATTGCAGATTTTAAAATCTCAGATTGATTTATTTAAAAAGTTTAAGAATGGGCATTTTCTGATCACAAAAATAAAAAGTATAATGACCCTTATGTCCTTCTCATCTAGCTACCACCTTGATTGATGATGTTCAGATTGGTTTACAGAATTAAATGATCTTTGAGATGATATAGAACTAACTTGTCTTAATTCACTAAGGAGTAACAGCTGAAGATTCAGATTTAATAAATAATTTAATCTGAATTCTTGCAATCATTATCTTATTCATTCGTGCAACAAAATTTATTGAGGGTCTTCTTTCTTCATTAGTGCCTTTGAGCAATGGCTAAGAGCCATGGTTGGGTACAAATCCTAGCTCTGCTACTTACTAACCATGTGGTTTAGGGCTAATCAAAATATTCTAGGCTTGTTTCCACGTTGACAAAATTGAGATAATACTAGTGTCTACCTCATAGGCTTGTTATGAGGATTAAATGAGATATATTAGTTTGCTCAATAACTGTTAGTTACTCTTATTGATATTATAAATGTCCTTTCTCTTTTTTCTTCCATATCATCTTTGGCATCTAGATTTTGTGCTAGGTACTGTTGGAAAGTGTGAGAGGATTGAAATGTGCATCTTGACCTTGAAGGACTAGAATTCCAGACTCGCCTAATATTAGAACCAGGAGGATCTTTGAGATTATCTAGTCTGACAAGCCCAGAGAGGTTTAGTGAATTGTCAAGTGTAACATAGCTATCTGTAGTGGCCAAGCCTTGACAGATATTCAGGTCTTCTAATTATGATTGTTCTTCTTATAAAATGACTACTCTGTTGCTTTGTTTGTCCTTTCTTAAGCCTTAGTCCTTCTAAATTGGCAATCCTGGCCTGCATGTTTTTTGGTGTTCTGCCTTTTCAGTGCACAAACATTGAAGTATATGTGGGGCTTTCTGTACACGTCAGACCTGAACATGTCCCTGGACAACTCCCTCCTTAAGGTTCCAAGGAAGACTTTTTAGGGAAGATGGACAAGCTGTCTCTCTGTGTGTACTCACAAAGATATTTTTATCTTCCTCTTGTGTCACAGCCCAGGAGTTAAAGTCACTGTTTGAAAAAAAATCCCTCAAAGAGAAGCCTCCAAGTTCCGGAAAGCAGTCAATATTATCTGTACGCCTGGAGCAGTGCCCTCTGCAGTTGAATAACCCCTTTAATGAGTATTCCAAATTCGATGGCAAGGTAAGTAAAAGTGAGACTTTGTCCCTTTAAGTAGAACTGTAATTGAGTGAAATTGTTGGTGTTATTATTAGATTCAGAGTTTCAAAAATGCATCATAAGATGTCAGTTGACAATTACGAAATGTCACTCACATTTTCTAAGACTGTAGATGTAAAAAGGTATGATTTTGGGCCAATGTTGTTTCCACTGTGATATATCTGGGAGGATTACAACAAAACAGTCCTGAGATATCTCTCTCTCTCTCTCTCTCTCTCTGTATATAGACAGATATATTAGGACTGTTCTGTTGTAATCCTCCCAAATGTTTGTGTGTGTGTGTATGTGTGTGTGTGTGTATCTATTGTATTTCCTAAGTATACTTGAGAGTTTGGGTTAGTTGGATTGTGGTTAATCAAGGTCTAATTGCATTGGGAATGCCTTGAAAGTGGTTTTAGAAGGCAGTTTGCATTGTCTTGTCTGATTGTTTATTATAACTGCAGAAATTGTTGAGGTTTGAACTTCATTTCAGAATTCTAAGCTACGGCTTTGCAGCTCAGTATTTCACTCTAGGGGGATCTTGTGTGACTCTTGCTATGGAGAATGACTTTTTTTTTTTTTCTGGAGACAGGATCTTGCTCTGTTGCCCAGTTTAGAGGGTAGTGGCATGATCAATTATAGCTTACTGCAGCCTCGAACTCCTGGGCTCAAGCAATGCTCCCTCCTCTACCTCCAGAGTAGCTGGAACTCCAGAGGCATGTCACCACACCTGGATAACTTTTTAAATTTTTTGTAGAGATGTGGTCTCAGTATGTTGCTCAGGCTGGTCCTGAACTCCTGGCCTTAAGCAGTCCTCTCACTTTGGCCTCCCAAAGTGCTGGGATTACAGGTGTGAGCCACTGTGCCTGGCTGAGGATGACTTTATTATTTTTGCCTGTTTGATCTAACAATTTGCTGTTATAAAATAAAAGTATTATTTTCCTTTTAGAAAAATGGCCACTGTTTTAGGTGGAGCCTAGTTCCATGTGCAGCACCCTTTCCCCCTACCCCCGGCCATTCTGTGTCTCTGTGCTGACCTGAGCTGGGTCTTTTTCAGGAGACAGTAAGAGTTGATTTTTATATTTATTGCCATTATGTTTGCTGCCTGGCAGTTGTGTGGGGGTGCTGAGTGATAGCATTTTCCCTGGAGGGGTCATGTACAATTTGTCTTATTTCAACACCACTGCGTTTAATAAACATATAGCTCTTTGCTTATGATTGCATTTTTTAAAAAATTCATGTGCTGGTTCTGTCAGTTGTCATCTTTGAGCAAAGAGATGTTTTTGAAACACTTTTACCTCATACAGTTCAGCATGTTGCCATAGGTTTAAATAAGCCTGTGTGGCCATTGGCATATGAGATTATTGATGTTTCTGGGGAAAGAGGGCAAGAACTAGAAACAAAATATATAAATAGCATAAAGTTCCTAATATGCTCAGGATATTTTCTCCAAAAAAACATCTGAAAGCACTTTTAGTAAATTATAGATTGTACTGATGCAAAGCCTGCCTGTGCTGCCTTCTTCTGTTCTCCTTGTGGAATGTGGTGAAGAGAAGGAAGTTTCTCCCTGAGGGACAAGAATGCCAGTTTCGGGAAAATGGCTGAGTTTGACTCTTTAGGATTTTTAAAAAATACTATAATTGATTCATTTAGGTATGTGAGAAATTTGTGTTGGTATTAAGTTACCTGGCTGGAATTTATTTGCTTCCATTACCTGATACCATTTCATTGTTCGAGGATGTAATTTCTGGAATAATTGTGTGATAATGCTTTTATGCCAACAAAATAGCATAGATCTTTTAAAATATATTCTAGAATTCTCCATATACCATTAGACTTAATTATTAATTGCTTAGGGTTGGATTTGTCAGAAGCTTATGAACTCTGGTTGAGATATGTATATCTAACTTGTTATTAGATAGATATCCTTTGGATATTGCCAAAGAGAAATTTTTTTTAAAAGTAAGCCAGTTCCTCAGTCACAAAGGAATTATTTTTGCTGGATGTGCGTTTACATATAAGACTCTCAATGCTTTTGTCATAGCAAGTTCATTTGTAATTTACAAAAGATGTGAGCATGGAACAGTCACCATTACACATTGATTAAGAAAGATTTATATATCGATAAGTCTATCTTATGATGCGATACTATTTTATTATTCTCCTATTATAATTGCTAAAATACAATTAAATCCTTGTTCTCATCTATTATTTAATATTGATGCGTTTGGCAGATATGTAATGAAAGTGGCTAATATTTGAAGGATATTGTACTGTACATATTAAATTAGTCTTTATCTTTGTGAAATGCATCAATATGATATTCAATGACATCTCAATGATTAATAGAGAATTATACTTGAGTCAAGCCTCTTTGTAACCTAGAAATTAAAATGACTATTCAAATAACACCTCAAAATGATCAAATTAGCATTTTGTGATTGCATAATAATGGGATTGTAGTAGTTATAACAGCACTGTGGCTGCCTCTAGAGTTAAGATCATGTCAACCCCTTGATAATAAAGCCTTTTCCGTGAGAGTCGACTTTAATAATTTCCAGATTGATTCTTCCCATAAATCATCTGACGTTCAGCACTAAATTTTTGTTGCTGTTGTAACTTAAAATTATTTTATTTTTATTCAGCTCATATTTAAGAAATGAAATGAGTGTCCTATTTTAATGATTCACCGTCTTGTCATTGGAACTGTATTTTTTTGCCTCAAATGTAAGGATTTTCCATGTATTTTGATACTCCTGTGTATTTTTTGTAAAGGTTTGTTAAAGCCTCTGAAATATGTATAGTTTTTTCCCTACAAATATTCAGAATGCTTTTCTTGGGAATAACGTTTGCCTTATTTACATAATTAACTGAGTTGCTTAGGTCTCTTGGGTAAATGGTACATAATTAGGGAGAGAAGGGGACAGGGAAGAGTTTGGGGTCTAATTAAATATGCTAAAAAACTACTTAATTATGTATTTCCTCAAGAGACTAACTGCTGTGAAATCCTCCTTAAGATTAAACTGGCGTTAGATTTGAGAAAAGGATTTTGCTTTTGGTATGGCTTTACAATTACATTGTAGTTCCGCAAGCACATCTAGTGTTCTTAGCAGTTTGTACAAACTGGATTGTTGGTTTTAATGATTCTAAGGATGAGCATCTCTTAGCTATTGTGCTAAATTGAAGTGAATATTTTCAGGTAATTTTTGGTTCTTGTAGCTGGTTAATAATTTATGAAAAGTTTTTTTTATAGTGATTGGTTAATAAATTTTTAAGGCATGAAATCGAGAGGGAAAGCATGTACTTAGGTATATGCTTTAACAATTTTTTGATCTGATTTATTATTGTGTTTATACTATTTCTTTGGTAGATTGGTGATGCTGTTTTAGAATCTTAGATTATCAATAACTCTGTTTACTGATCATTTGAAGTTCAAGGTAGAGTGCAAAGCAGTTTTAGGGAATGTTTTGGTCAGACCAGGCAAAATCTGCTTCAGCCATTTGCCTGAATTTTTCAGCATTTTTGAGAACAGGACCTCTGAATAGCCTTATTAACAAAATAAAACATCAGTTCTAAGAGGTTGTGACAAATAGAAAACTTCTTATACCAGTCCTTCTGATTTCACTGTGTGTGGAAACTGTTGATTGTGACAAGGAGTTGCTTTGAGGTGACAACGGAGTGGGCTCCGCTGATAGGCAGGAAATACTCAGCACCAATTGCAGTGCCTCAGAATATGAGGATTTTTTGACCTGCTTCTCCACCTGTTTCAAAATAGGTCGTGTTTTAAGAAATAAATCTAACCCTTGCCATTTTCTTTTTCTTTTCTTTTCTTTTGTTTCTTTTTGGGACTCTTGTCCTGGGCTAGAGTGCCGGGGCGTCAACCTAGCTCACAGCAACCTCAAACTCCTGGGCTCAAGCGATCCTACTGCCTCAGCCTCCGGAGTAGCTCGGACTACAGGTGTGCACCACCAGGCCCAGCCCATTTTTAGTAGAGGTGGGTCTTGCTCTTGCTCAGGCTGGTCTCAAACTCCTGGCCTCAAGCGATCTTCCCAGCCTGGGCCTCCCAGAGTGGTAGGGTTACAGGTGTGAGTCACTGTGCCCAGCCTAAACTTTGCCATTTTCATGCCTTATCACTTATTTGAGAAGCTTTTACTAGTACATCATCACTATTCTGGTCAAACAGTTTGCAGATATTATCATCATCATTACTAGACCATCAGAAGTTCAAGTACCCATTTCCAGTCAAACAGTTAATAATAAAAAATGGTACTGATTATCAAATTATGTCATCTCAGTCAGTTTTTTTACCTCTCTGAACCTCAGTTTCTTCACCTCTGAAAAGAGATGAGTGTTCCTTCCTCACAAGGCTGAGACCAGCAGATAGGATGATGCTAGGCTGAGAGGCAGTGTAATTGAGTTAGTAAAGCAACCCTTGTTTGAATCCCAATGACTCCACTTACTCCATTTCTTGGGGTCTTCATTCCCATGTGAAGGCTCCGTATCACATAAAATTTACATTAAATAAATTTCTTTGCTTTTCTTTTGTTTATTTGTCTCTTGTTACAGAGGCCCCAGCTCAGAACTTACAAGGGTAGAAGGAAAAAATATTTTTTCTCCCCTGCAAGCTCCAGTCCTCCTCTGTGGTGAAATGATGACAGTATAGCTTCCTCATGAGGATTACATAAAATGAGGCCTGTTTAGCAGGACATGTAGCACATGGGAAACACTCAACAAATATCCACTTGTGCTGCTTTCTCTTTGTAAAGGAATAGGGGGGCAGTGATGATTTCTCTCCTATGTACTTCATTAGGTTGTTGACAGGATTGAGTGATGCGTTTTTAAAACCAGGATTTTTGAATAGTGTGGTTAAGCGAGACATGCAGACTGAACTGGATGAAGGTGGTCTGCGTGCTGAAGTTGAGGTAGTCCAGTGGTGCTTGGACCTTTCATTTCAAATAGGAAGACTAAGACAAGTAATTACTTCT